CCGTTGGAATCAGAGGCGAACTGTCTTTGGTATAGTTAGCCAAATGTCAAAATCAGAGACGAACACGCGCCTCCAGGTTTCTCTCTTGTCATTTGTGGTGATGACTCTATAATGTTTCCTCCGTCAGTGGTCTCGATTTTTGGCATGGACGAAGTTTGACGCTGGGCTTCGGCCTCATCATCGTCCAGCGCAAACTGCACTTGGTTATGTGATATGTCTTAGATGGAAATGAAGGTACGCACATTGGTACGGTGGGATTTCATAACGGTGAATGCGTAGGAGGAAAGTTAAAGGACCCTTCTGCCACCGGCGTGTTCATATTAACGCATTCATGTACGTACGCGACAGCAATATAAATAAGTTTTACAGCTATATGTCCGAGTCAGTTAACAACAGCACTTTCGGGCACAGCTATGTACCACGCACGTAAGGTGAGGCTGAAATAAACAGGACCTTGTGTCTCCAGGGACCCTGCCAGTGCCAGCGATTGAAATGGATTGATAATACAAGACTGAATCCTATGACGTTCCCGATGTTGCCAAAATCAAAACCGGAAGTTTTTTTCGAGAGCTGAAAACTTTTTTCTGTGAAACCTCAGAATACCCCTGTCCCTATGTAGTATATGAGTCTAGTAGGAGGATCCTCAAAAGGAATAGAGCAGGATCACAGTAGATCAGGCGAGGGTGTTACGGGCTGAGGGCAGGGACCGGAGCACCGTTGGGGAAGTGTCCGGCCAACTTGAAGGAGGATGGAACATCGGGGGTGATGGCAAACATTAGCAAGCAAGGCTTTTCCTTTTATAGCCGGTGAAAAGTTCTTTTGAAGTTTACGCTGTCGCCCTCGATTGTCGACTCGTTTCACGTTTTCTCCCTCACCAACTGTATCCCTTCCACACACGCCGTATCGATCCTCGCCACACTTATCTTATCGGGATGGTCCTAGAAATCGGTGAGTTGCGCGACCGTCTTTGCAGCACGCAGGATGAGACATCGAGACAATTTGCACGTCAGTCGGACTGGACTGGCGAGCGCTTGCGCTCATCTTGCCCATAGAGGACGTTATCCACGCATTCACTGACTTTTTTTTTTTTTTTTTTTTTTCCTTTTTCTTACCTCGATTTGTTCATCGGAACTCACGATTCATCCAGGAATTACGCCGTAACTTTCCAGCAGGCAAGCGCATCGTTGTTATCTTTCTTCTCCAGCTATACGTTCGGGCCTCCAACCACCCAGGGGTTCATATGCACATTCACAGCCCCAGCTGAGTGTATCGTCCTTTCCCTATTTTTTTGGCCCATTCTGCTTCGCGCACGATTTCTTTTTTACTTTACCATTCTCCGTCATAATAATGCATACCTTCCTCCTTTCATGCGCGCGCCGCTCTGCCCGCAATACCTCCGAGCTTCCCGCGCGCTGTTTCATTGTGCACACGATGTGTTGCCCGCAGGCGCATCGTCCTTTGGCGCACCGTGGCGGCCGCGCACGCCACGCTGCTCACTTCGATGCGCGCGCGCGCGCTGGCCACACCGCACTCGCTACGCCGATTCGCTACTCGCGGCGTCCGTAGCCGCAGCGCTCCCTTCGTTCACGCTTCTTTTACGCACTTTCTTTCCCTTCGCTTTGCTCTACGTATCACGTATCACATCCTTATCCCTATCCCATTCGCGCAATATGACCATTTCTCGCGGACAGTTAGGCGTTACAGCGTCGTTCTTCTCAGTCCCCTCCGACTCCCATGTGCGTTGTGCACATCTTTGAGGTCGGACTGGGGCGTCGCCTGCGCATGCTCGCCTCGGGTCCGTTTCTGACCACTTCCGGTCCTTCTCCGTATCTGTCGAGGCACGCCCGTGGACCCCTCCGATGTCGGCTCAAAGTCGGAAGGTCTCCCCTTTTTCCTCCGCGGTCATGCTCCTTGGCCACCTCCGAGGTCGGCTCAGAACGCCCCCTCCCGTTCGTCGAGGTCGTGCCCTTAGCTCAGAATGTCTCTCTTTCTCTTGGGATCGTTGGCCTCCGAGGTCGGCTACCGTGCCGTCTTCCTTCTTTCGCCTTCCGCCTTTTGGTGTACTTACTTACACCAGCGAGGCTGCGCCCGTGTGCCAGCGCTCCCGCGCGCCGGATTTTTTGCTGTAACGGCACTTTTGCTTTTATCCCCCGCTCCATGTGCATTGTGCACATCTTTCGAGGTCGGAGCCTCCGCATGCTACCTCTACACCTCGGGTCTGTTTGTGACCACTTCTGGTCTTGTCGACTTGTCGTACTCGTCGAGGGCACGCCCGTAGACCCCTCCGAGGTCGGCTCAGAGTCGGAAGGCCTCCGAGGTCATGCCACATGGCGGCCCCGAGGTCGGCTCATAACGCCCCCTCCCTTTCTTTTGTGGTCCTGCCCTTGGCTCAGAATGTCGTCTCTCTTTCCCTTTCCCTTGGGATCGTGCCCATGCGCTGCCGAGGTCGGCTCCTGGGCTGTCTTCCGCCTCCCGCCTTTTGGTGCTCTTACGCCTGCGTCCGTGTGCCAGCGCTCTCGCGCGCCGGTTTTTGCTGTAATGGCATTCGCCCGCTACAGTCTCCGTGCACGTTCGTCCCGCTTCCGCTCCCACTCCCGCCCACGGCGTATCATGATGATACCCATTGGCGCTGTGTACCGTACTGCGGCCGCTGCTGTCTTTCGAGGTCCTGCCCGAGCTCGAGTGCCGCCTCGCTCGCCCAACGTCGAGGTCGTGCTCGTATGGCGCCGGTGTACCCTTTTCGAGGGCCTACCATCACGGCGTGGTGCCTCGCATATGCATATTTTGAGGTCGCGACACTCACACGTCGTCGACTCCAAGCCTATGCTTGACGCCACCCCCTATAATTCCTTCTGAAGTCTTGCCCGCGCACTGTCCCTTGGCCAGGTCCAGGGTCCCGGACCCATCGAGATCGGGCTTATATGCCCACATTGGAGGTTGTGCCGTGTCTCTTGGCTTCTTCGAGGACGTGCTGCTTATTATCTCCGAGGTTGTGCTCTTACGCCTACGCCTCCTCTCGTTCCTTCGCGGTCGACTCGTTCCTTCGACCTCCCGTATTCCCCCCAAGGCCGTGCTTGTACACCGCCGCGTACGACTCTATCTTCGTATTCCATAAGGTTGTTGGCCATTCAATGCCGCCCTCGTCTTTCGCAGTTGCTGCCAAATTCATACTCCGAGCTCGTTTGGCCATCGTCCCTGCCGTTGCTCTAACGTCGGCTCCGCCCTCATTCGAGTCGCAGACGCGGCGGCTGGGTCCTTTATACGTGTCTCGTGCATCGCGCTCGGCATTCTACAGCACTTGCCTACTTTCCCGTTCCCCCACGTCGAGCACCCGTTCTTCCGACTTCGCACCACGCCGCGCATCCTCCGTTGATGACGTGTCTTGATACCTCTTGATACATCCTAACTTTAAATCTTTTCCATATCCTTCTTTCATTTCATGTCGCGGTACATCGCTGGACCAGGCTCACAGCTGCATACGAGAAGCAGCATCCGCCGTGTACCCCCCTCCGCCGCTGCGCCACCACTGCAGCACCGTCGTACGGTACCATCGCATCGCGGTGATCGACCCGAACGACGACGGACCTCAGGCTGGACGCGGTCTCGAGCGCTGGGCGTCGGGCGTAGGCGTGGGCGACCAACGGGCGCGCGAGCGCGACCTGTCCAAGTGGGAGGTCGCCCGAGTGGCACTACGGCTCCACACCCGTCACGCACTTCGGGTACCTCATCATCGCGGTGATCGATCCGAAGCAGACGACGGACCTGGACGCGGTCGTAAGCCACTCGAGCACTGGGCGTCGGGCGAACGCGCGCGCATTGGTCGCCCAGAGCGGCGGCGTGCCGATCCAGATCCAGATCAACGGCGTCCGCTCGTCGAGATCAAGGTGAACGGGAGGTCGTGCCAGTGGAGGTACCCGAGGGGGACGTCCGAGTCACGGACGAGAAGGGCATGACATGATTGTCGTGGAGGAGGACGCGCCTTCTCCCACAAGTTCCATTGAAGGCGGGCGTATCGATTATGGCCAACGACCCAAGTTTCGGTCAATGTCGTGCCTGCTCTGAAGTACAATCGGCTTGTCCGGGATGTGGCCATGGGTTTGCGGGATCCGAAGTCAAGTACTTACCCATATTCGAATTCATTAATGAACGTCACTGCGCGCACTGACAGCTTCAATAGTCTAAGGTTCCTCCGAGTATAGAGCGGGCTGGTTGGAAGCAAGACGCTGGCATTGCTTACGGGGTAGATGAGAACAGAAAAGAAGGATACGTTTACAAATTTGATATCTATCTAAGTACGTCTAAAAGACTTAGGATGTGCACATCCCCGATAGACCTAAATGAGAAATATGATGGCTTGACGACAGACTGACTATTCAAAAAATCAGGAAGATTTGGAGGTACTTAGTTGGAGACTCATTCTAAAAGATGTAGAGAATCATGATAGAAGAGAATCACTAAATGAGTAAGAGAAAAGAAAAGAAAAGCAAAAAGGGCCTAACCGGGAATTGAACCCGGGACCTCTGTTATGAGGACTGTAGTTCAAATGTTTGGGCAACCTGACAAGGAATCAGTTCAAGACAAACGTGACCGCGTAATCACGTTATACGCTGACCAATGTTTGGACCCAACATTTTTGTCAAGCACAACACAACACAGAACAAACAACCAACCACCTGACCACTTTCTGGCACATGCTCACAATGACATCAGAATTTCACCCTGGCACTCTGGGGGCCCCCACCCTAGCCTCTCCCTTACAGAGACACAAGACTCATGTTAATCATCCTCTGACACACATGGCTCTCCTTACAGACACACAATGTAAACTATAATTGACATATGTCAACTTGAATGTTATCTCCTCAGGCTTCCAAGTTCTCCATGGCACTTGGAATGCATCCAGTTCCAATATCTCTTTTTCCTCGTTCATCATACGTTTTCGTCTGTAATTTTATTCAAAAAGTTGTCGGTAGAATGACTTTTTAAGGCAAAAAGCAAAAGGGCCTGACCGGGAATTGAACCCGGGACCACCTCGAAGCATATTACGGAACTTTCACAGTCCGAAGCCCTAACAAGGTATCATACTACTAGACCATCAGGCCGATGGAAGGGGCTACTTTCTCGAGGTGATTATGGCAATAAAGGCTTGGAGGACTTCCACCGGATGAAAATTGATTTTTGTCTCCCAATCAATTTTTCAGGCTTCAGCTTGATTTTGGAACTGAGAGCATTTGAGTCGCTGGATCGGCAAAATACACCTTCCCTGCCTTCAGATTAAATCAAATTTGAATGATAGAAATTACAGTCACACTTCTCACCTGAGGCAATATCGCTGCCAATTATATCGGATGTTGATTTTCGGGCTTTTGGGCTTACAACAAATCAGCCTAGGGTACTTTTGGCGCAAAAGTGTACTGAAGTTGAATTTAGCAAAAGGTGAATCTAACGGGTCACAGATCACAACTTTGCTGAATCTACCGCGTATACGAATCAATTGGGTGCCCACACCTGCCTCTGGGAAGGAGCCAGCCCTGACACTTCTCCATTGTCTCCACTGCTCTACTATTTGTCTCACCTATCCCATTAGATAGATATATTTAATACTACTGACAATATAGCTATGCATGCCGTTTGTATTTAAGCCGTAGTATTAAGTACTCTGAATTTATGCAGTTCTTCTGCGAAACATCCTTCTCTCAAGTCATTTTCTCCAAGTCACTGCTTCAATAGTCTCATTTAATTTACTTTATAAAATTATGTCTGTCCGAAGCCCTTGAGCTCGGACGTTTCCGATGCTCTACTGCTCGACTCTGACTCAGCCTGTGGTGACTCTGGTCACGATCAACTAACCAAGGTGAAGTGCCGGGGTGCAGAGTGTTTAACTTACATTTGGTTCTCTGTATCGGGCTCAAAACTAGTTCAACTAACAACTGACAACTAACAACTGAAAACTAATAACTGTTTTATTTTTAAACTGAAAACACTTACGAAGCTGCGAAGCTTCGAAACCCTAACAAGGAATCATACTACTAGACCATCAGGCCGATGGAAAGCATCAACCTTCGAAGGATATCAGTGCGAGAAGGGTTTAGTGAACTTTTATTTATTAGTTTGATTCCAGTGAATATCTTTTTCTTTTGCTCTCTTGAATCTTCCACCGTGCGATATGCGTTACGAAGCGGTATACATTGGCTCTCCGGGCATCCCTGGTACCTTGGTACTGATACCGTTCCAGAACTAGTAAGCCAAAAATTGAAGCTTAAAGGCTCGCTCGCAAGTCTTGGCCGACTCGCCCCCCTCACTCGCACAGCATATGCACTTTGCTAGAAACTTACGCCTCCCTTGATACTCCTATAGCACTTCGTCTATTAGCAACGCCAGATCACGGACCGATGCTCTGACACGATCGGTTTTTGCATTATCGAGGGGAGACCTGTCACCTACTAGTAAGTCGGTACCAGGATCTCTTTATCAGTCACCGAACCGCTCTTCTTTCAAACCGCATCACATTCAATTGAACGAAACACGTTTGGCCAAGAGTTCCGCCTTGCTTAAAATTTTATCTTCGTTTTAACCAAGTTTGAGCTGGTACGTCCAGGTGAGCTAAATGGCTTGAAGATTATTTTGAGCCTGATCCTTTCAAAGGCCGTAAGCAATGTCACTAATACCGAACGTCCGAGTCCGAGTCACCGGTGTTTCACTGACTGGGGCAACAACTAGTATATATGTAGCTAGCTGAACTGCCAGTCTGCCACTGATCTTAAATCCTCTCAAGTATGCGCCCTCTGGCACAAGCCAGCGCTCATCAAGAAAGGCGCGGTTTTCTTTTTCTGATTCATACCAAGTTCATACTAGGTCATACATAGCCTTTGGCATGGCTTGCTGTAATATTTCCATTACCCTTGCTCTTGTCGACGCTTTTTCCGCTCATCCGGTACAGGGTACTTTATCCCATTAGGGTGTTTCAGGCATCTACTTTTTCATCCGAACTTGGGTCCCAACTTTGTCCCCAACTGGAGACTCAACTTGACATGTTTTTGTCCCGGGATGCAGAACGGCCGCCCCAAATAGGTTCGGTGAAGTTGGGACCTGAAGTTGGGGTCGAAGTTGGATCTCAAGTCGTGGTCCGGTGCCCGACTTGACATCCAACTTCCTTCCCGAACTATTTTAAATTCCAACTTCGAGCGAAGTTGGGCCCGAAGTTGAGACCCAAGTTGGGCCTCAAATCGGGATGTCTGAAACACCCTATTGGTCCAGCTCCATTCCACACCTTGGCCACAGCGCCGCTCGTGTGCCCTGTTTACGGCGGTGAATCAGGGTGTCCATTGAAAAGCTTCAGAGATGTCGGTTCCTGTCGGTCTTGTCTTCCACCACCATGGGCCCCCGTATCTACACCTCTGATCTCCCTGACGCGCCTATCATCCATACCTCAATATTCACCCGATTGTTTGCTTCACAGGGACCGGGAGATATTGGCGGACATCCTGAATCGAAGACTGCATTTATCGACGCAGCAACTGGAACTTCTATCACTCGTGCTGAGCTCCTAACTCTATCTTTGTCCTTTGGCTATGGAATCCGTGATCACCCCACCACGGCGCCCTTTGCCACGGGCGGCGCCACCGTGCTCATATACTCCCTGAACTCTCTGGCGTGGCCCGTCGTGCTCTTGGGCTGTGAGATCTCATTTCCTCTATCCGTGTGCACCTGTGACCGACTGCCTTGTCTAGGTGTCTCAGCGGGCCTGCGCTGCACCCTGGCGAACAATGCGTATATCAGCCGCGAGCTGGCCCATCAGTATCGCGATAGTTGCGCTGACTTGCTAATTACCGCTGAGGACGGGATCGATACAGTGCAGGCGATGTTTCACGAGCTGGGAATTGCGCGGCACGAGGTAGATAGGCGAATCGTCGTGTTAGGCCGTGACCTCCGCTGGGCGGGCGGGCCTACGGCGGCGCTTGATCCTAGATGCCGTGGGATGTTGACTCTGCATGACCTGCTAGTCAGAGGAAAGTTGGAAAGGGAAGAACAATTTAATGGAGCGCTCGCTCATGAAACGGTATATTTGTGCTACAGCTCTGGTACGACAGGCAAACCCAAGGTTAGCCCTTAATATTGTCTGGCGAAATTCTCTGACTGTCGTCATGTAAAATCGCAGGGAGTCGAGGTGAATCTTTATTTATTCGGCGAATTCGCTATGGTCGGAATTGATCCTAATGCAGACGACGCACCAAAACATGACGACAATCATGGATGTCATGATCACCAGTAATATGTTTCTTGAGGTCCAGTCTGGAAATAGCATCGTTCTCGGTGTTTTACCATTCTATCACCTATATGGTACGCAAAATTTCCGTTGCAAAGTTTTTCAACGCTGACGTTGGCCCAGGAGCTGCCTTGCTGCTCCAACTTTCGTTTACTCTGGGCTGGTCGGTCGTCATCCAGCCCCAATTCGATCCTGTTCAATTCTGCGCAGCAATCGAGCGGTTCAAGGTGTCATTTGCGTTCATCGTCCCGCCCGTGCTCGTGGTCCTTGCTCGGCATTCTGGTATATTTCATGTCATCAGCGGCTGCCCACATTAATTTGACTTCACAGCGGTCGATCAACACGACCTATCGAGCTTGCAGTATATGCTGTCCGCCGCTGCGCCGCTCGGGGCAGATCTCGTGAAGCAGGTGTTTAGAAAATCTCCTCTCAGCCGAACTCTTTCAACTGACTTGATTTCTAGGTCAAGGCGCGGCTTCTCGCGAAGCGGCCATCGGGCGCAACTTGTCTAATTTCGCAAGGTCAGTGCCATTCCAGCCCCTCCTAAGCTGCTTCCGGTTAACTAGCGCAGGCTACGGGCTCACGGAGACAACGACGGGGACGCACATTCTACCATTCGCAGACGCGGATCTCAAGGTCGGCAGCGTCGGGAAGCTACTACCGAACATGGAAGCGCGGATTATCCATGACGAGGAGGGAGCGGTCGAGGCGGAGCTGGGGAAACCCGGGGAACTGTGGGTGCGCGGCAAGACCGTGATGAAGGTGAGAAACGACGCTGTTGCCCCGTTCAGCCGTCTTAACGGTGCGCAGGGATACCTGAATAACCACGAAGCTACGGCGAACGCGATCACCCCCGATGGGTGGTTCAAGACGGGGGATATTGTCGTTCAAGACAAAGAAGGATACTTGTACATCGTAGGTCCGTTATTTCCTTCTTTTCGCAGATATCTCGAAAGACTTCTTGTATGTACATAGATAGATGCAAGGAGCTTATCAAGTACAAGGTGCATTGCCTCATACATACAAAAGCTGACGGTACTATGCTCACTTATTGCAGGGATTCCAAGGTGAGATTACATACGCCCGTTGAAACTCCTACTGAGCCAATTCATAGTACCCCCTGCGGAACTCGAGAGTGTCCTGCTCACACACCCCGACATCGCCGATGCGGCAGTGATCGGGGTGGAGAACCACGAACAGGCGACCGAATTACCTAGGTGCGTCCGGCCTTTGTGCTTGATCAAAACATCGAATATACCCTCGCAAACAGAGCGTATGTGGTCCATACGCGTCCACAGGAAATCAAGACGGTCGCTGAGATGACCGCATTCGCGAAGGGCGTGGTCCAGTGGACGGAGTCCAGGGTTGCTAAGCATAAGTATTTGAGAGGAGGTTAGTTGTATAATATGTTTGCTTTTCTTGTAGCTCATCTTTTCACAGGGGTTCGTGTCATCGACGCGGTGCCCAAAAGGTCAGAATTCTCTGAACAATATTTTTACATTGTTCAACTGTGGTGCAGTGCTGCTGGCAAGATCCTCAGGCGCGAGCTAAGGGAGCTGGCTAAACAAGAGATGGCACGTGGAGAGATCGATACGGGGTTCAAATCCAAGTTGTGATCGTAAACGGGAGATAGTATCGCGTTTTATTTATTCCAGGCTCATCGGATACAATACACGCACATTCAAAGGAACCAAATGTATCAACCGTCGCCGGAACTCGTCCTGACTGTAGGGAGAGGAGCGGAGGGAAGGTAGGTAGCTATGGCTACTTCCCGACCTCAACAAATTTGAACAAACATCGCCCAACTTGCCTCGTGTAAGATCGGGCTCCCAAGTT